GCTAATCTTGCTTTTACTCCCCCACCCCCCCTTAAATCTCAGAGTCCTGACCTGGGCATGTGCTATTCCCTCTGTCTAGTACTCATTTGCCTGTCCCTAAATTGTAGTGTCCTTCAAGACTCAGGTAAAGTCTCATCTCTATCCCTGTGCTGTCCACCTGTCATTCTTGAGGCTCATACATACACTTTCTGCACCCTGCTCTACCTGCTCTCTCTCCAAGGACTATGTCAGCACGGAAGTCAAGGGCTCACCCTCTACTCCATTTGAATTTCTCTTCCAATGCTCTTCTACACATAACAAAGAACTGCTCAAAACCATCCCAGAGGGGCACGGAGATCAACATTCTGTCACTCACATACATACAGTGTTCACAAATATCATTTAGGGAAAGTATGAACAGTTCATTTAGAATATGAACAGTACAGTTCTCCCTTCACTTCTTAGATGAAAGCCCTTTCCTTGTTCATTTAAGCTAGAAAATGGTTGAATGCTAAAACAACACCAAAGGGCACATTTTCATCGTGTCCTATGCTAGCTAGGCTTTCTAACCTCCTTTCCTGAAGTCTACCTGTGGAATGCCAGCAATTTGCTTGAATCAGTGTAGGAGGAAAAGCAATTCAACAGGAGTCTGCTGAAATTATAGTTGCCAAATATAAACAATGGGAAAAACACATGTACAAATTGTAGACCATAGAGGCAGAGTGAAGTGAGGGCTCCTTAGTAGGCCTTGATGTCTGTTTTACATTTTCCTCAAATACTACTCATTGTAAATTCTAGGCACATGTCACCTATGAAACACTAGAGCTTGGCATAGTCATACATAATCCAAACTTTGCAGGTCCATCTGTTGTAGTAAAGAAATAGCTTATTTTAGATGCTATTTCAGAAAGGCTCTGATACGCACCCTTCCTTAGCAAATGTGCAGAGTGCACTTTTTTTGTTTGGGGGTGAGAATCTGGCCAGAGGTGGCATTTCCACCTTCAGCAGGAGGGTAGCATTAGAGGCAAGCATAAAGCAAGCAGATGCGTCCCTCCCTGTAAATGTGCATCAAATGGGGTCACCTCACCATCACCGGGAATGTACCCAACTATACGCTGAAGAATCAGCTTGACACATACTGCATCCCCAAATGCCAATGGAGGGTAGGTACCATCAGGGCAGGGCACTTCAGGCAACACCATAAGTGTAATCTGGCTCTTGTGGATCCAGAGCCCAGGGGACCCACAATATCAGTGTGCACCTACCCATGGTGCTTCTAGTAAGGTTCCCAGTGAGGGAAACATTCAAGGCCAGTGTTAGAAAGACAGCAGAATAAATAATCTTCAGTCTAAAAATACTAAAACTCTAGAGGGATTTGATCAAAATTTTGGAAATCATAAATGGTACAGAAATGGTGAATACTGCTAAATTCGAAAACTGGAACCAGGGATTAGGACGTCAGATTCTTAAGGTGTAAATAAGACAAACACAAAAACAACCAATTCAAACATATAAAACTCCTTGCTAAGATATGAGACAAAATGAAGTATTTTTAAAATGTCAGAGAAGTTGGCAGCTTAGTAACGTGTAACTCAGGGGAACGAACAGCACAGGGTCTGCAGTGATTGGGAAGCAGAAGCCAGAGGGGAGTGCTCCACGCAGAAACGCTGAGCTCTCCAAGGTGGGAAGTAGGTGTTTCCAATCTTTTTACAATAAATGATGCTATAGCTATAGCTATCTTGTTTCCCCTTGTGGATGCAGTATTTTCTTTTAAGCACAGCTGGATAATAGTTCTTTTAAAAAACTACTTGTAAAACCTCTCTGAATATTGTTTTAGGACCAAGGCATAATTAACTTATAGAAAAAGTGCATGGTGGCATTTAAATGGTTTCTGTAAAAGTCCAAAGAAAAATAAACCATTTCCCAGAGCAGAGTACTGGCAACATGATATCATAAGGCTGGAAATGCCACAACACTTGGGAGAGGCTGACTGTGCTCAGTCATGGGACCCTGGGTAGGTCTCTTCATGGGTCTACATCCATCTCTATCCCTGTGAGATAAAGGAGGAATTGGACCAGATGATAGCTTTCAGGTCCCTATCAGCCCTAAGGTGGACACTGTTGCTAGAGTTTAATTTGGTATCTCAAGAACAAACATGCAATTAAATTCCTTTATTACTTTTCTAACAAAGTTCTCAGAAAAATGTCGTTGGTGCTTGATTTTGAATGTGCTTCTTGTGGGGTTCTTAGAAGTATTCACTATCTCCTTAACCATCTCTCATATGGTCTTTACCGAAGTCAGAAAACGAGAACAGAATACTGTAATTCCCTGTGATGGTTAAAAGCTGGGAATTCTGTTTTCCACCCAGTCCTCAGTCTCCTTTTTTAACCCAACCCCTATTTATGCCTCAGAATGTCAACCCTTACCTCTTCTCAGCAATCTTCCTTTATTCCCCACACTCCTGAGCACTCCATGCCTGCCTCTGTCCGACCACTAAACTAACTGCACACGTTCCCGCCTAGATGCCTTGTGGGCATAAATCATGCTCTATTTAACTTTGTAATCCTTGAGCCTGGCACATAGTAGGAAAACTCAATGAATAGTTGCTGAATTAATCAGTTATATTTGTTAATATTGATATAATCATGTCACCGTTTGCTCTAAAGTGATCACATTTATTTGGAGCCAAAAATAATGAAAAAAACCACTGGGCCCTGGCCATGGACTGAATCATATCTCCCTCAAATGCATGTTTGGAAATCCTAACACCTCATACTGTATTTTGAGCTAGTCTTTTAAGAGTTGATTAAGGTGAAGTCAAGTCATCAGGGTGGTTCTGAATTCAAAAGTCCTGGCATCATCATAAGAAGAGATTAGGACACCAGCATTCACAGGGGAGGTGGCTGTCTACAAGCTAAGAGAAAGATATCAGGAGAAACCAACCCTGAGGACAGCCTGTCGAAGGACTTTCAGCCTCTCAAATGTGAGAAAATAAATCTCTGGTTTTTTTTG